ATATAGATATAAGAGATATATCTCTATATATGAGGCAAATAGCAATATTAATAAAAGGTGAACACATATAAATCTAAACAGAGGACATTGTTCATATAGCTTGTTATAATATCAGAGTATGGAGAACATCATATAAAAATTAATAATAAATAATAATAGCCAGATGAACATAGAAATAGGTATAAAAAATGTATCTATATATATATAAGGTGCATCACAATAATAAAGAAAGACAAACGTATAAATCTTGACAAAAAAGCATTATTCATATAGCTCGTGATGACACATGGTGAGTGAAGAAGGCATATAAAAAAGGTATATAAAAAAGGTATATAAAAAAGGTATATAAAATCCTAAAAAAGGGAACACAAGAAGAGGACAAAATTAAAATCATCATTAAATTAATCTATAAAGGCTAGTATATCCAAATCAGTATTCAATCCTGAGGGAACAGAAGATTTCATTTTATATATCCATTCAGTTTCTTTCATAGCTAGCCTTTTTTCCATGTCACCACCTCTCCAATGAGGTAAAATTATATCGATCCCAATACAAATAAAATTTTTAAAATCAAAATCCTTACAAGTATTACAATGTCTAGGTACACTATGTTTCTCATTTTTATTCTTTTTTTTTGTAAATATGTTTTTATTTCAGTTTATATTGTCAAGAATAAGTCACATTGAGACTCGCAGGTCTCCGTAAGCCTTTAGGGCACAGTAACCAAGGTACAACATGTGCATAACTTTTTTACTTCGGGCAACCGGGCGCGCAGGCCCACAATTTCGCTGGACTCGCAGGTCCCTTTCAGCATGCAGTTCTTGTCCCTAAACTAATGTGACGTTTGCATTCGGTCGCTTCGTTTGTTAGGTAACATTAGGTAAACTTCAGTTTGGACTCGCAGGTCCACTTAGGGTGGAACAGAAGCAGCCTATGAAAAGGAAAGACGGTCTGCGGAACCAGCATTGGTGTCGTGTTGGTCACTATGTAGCGGGTATTATAGTCGGGTGTCGGGCCCGTGTGTCTCGTTGCAGTAAGGCGGTCAGGTATTACCTCCAGTAAACTCCAAGTGTCAGGGTGGGTCCGCTGGCCCCTTTGAGTCTCACGTTAAGTCCCGCGGCCTGATCTGTAGTGCGTGCATGTGGGTGTCTTCTGTTCTATTGTCCCCTCGTGGAGGGGTGAGTGTCTTCCCGAAGGCCTTATAAGTCTTCTCTTATGTTGTCCTTGGCGTGTGCCAAGTACTTGTCTGTTCGCATGCAGTATTTGGGGTTGGGGGATGTCCGGGTAGTGGCGTCTAGGGAGGTAGGGGGGTCGGGGTGCGTCCGCGTCTGGGTCGCGTCTGTCTAAGTCGTCTCTGTATTTGTCGGTCTATGCGGCTTCGTCACTTTGTCCTTATGTGTCATATTGGAGCCTGTTTGTGAATTCTGCCTTGGTGGTAGTCAGTATCCAGTGGGTCCATATGTCCGTGTACTTATTCGAGGAGTTGGATGCGGTCATAATGAGTTCCTCTATGGCTCTGAGTTCCTCCATTTGGGAGAACCAGGATGTCAACGGGGGTGTCGTTTGTTGCTTCCAGAATTGAGGGATCAATTGTTTGGCAACGTTTAGGATTCTAATGGTTAGTGAGTGCTTGTATCTCGTTCTAGGTGACCTTGTATGGTGAAGGAGCATATGTTCTGGGAGGAAGGGGGGTGGCGTGTCTGAGAAGGTTTTGAGGAAGCCGTGTATACTCCGCCAGAAGGGCTTTATGGCTTCGCAGGTCCACCACAGGTGGAGTACTGTGCCGGCCTCTCTATTACACCGCCAGCAGAGATCCGTGTGTTCCGGGTCCATGGCATGGAGTGCGATCGGGGTGCAGTACCAGTTCGTTAACAGTTTAAACGCCGTTTCTTGTGTTTTGCTGAAGACTGAGCAGTGATGCGTTAGATAGCATATCTTTTCCCAGTCCCCGTCTGTGAAGGTTTTCCCCAATGTTTGTTCCCATCTCCCCATGAATTTGGGTTTCTCCGTTGGTGTTTCCCTCTGTAGCATGGAGTAAATGAGTGAGATCCCGTGTGGTTGCGGGTCTGGGTCCATACACATTCTTTCAAATGTGGTAGGATCACGTTTCCGTGCCGTGCCCCCCGGGAGGGTGTGTACATAGCTCTGTAGTTGTCTGTGTTTTAGGTGGTGTAGGAGGGTGGGGGTTGCTCCCTCTAATAGGGTCGGAAGTGTTTTGCATTCCGTGCCTGCCAGCAGGTGGTGTAGTCTAGGTGGTTTATGTCGGATTAAGTCCCTGAATGCGTTGGGGTCTAGCCCCGGTGGGAAGCTGTCGTTATGCGTGAGAGGGAGAAGGGGGGATGGGAATGGTGCTAGTCTGCATCTCTGTGCTACTCTCTCCCATGCCCGTAGGGTTGCGGTTGTGTAGGGTGTGCCTTGTCTCCCGCTCCCTCCCCTCCCCAGCCATGGGGCGATGGACAGCGGTATCCCCGCATCCGTTTCCTCTACCTCTTTCCATCTCTTATGCACCTTCTCTTTTGTCCACTCCATAATTCGTTGGAGGTGACAGGATTCGTAGTACAGGGAGAAGTCTGGTATGGCCAGTCCCCCCCTGTCCTTGGGCAACGTCAGTGCGGCTAGTTTGATCCTCGGTCTTTTGCGGTCCCAAATGTATTTCCCGGTTTCCTGTCGCAGGGCCTGAAAGAATGATCTGGGGATGGTAATGGGTAGGGCTTGCATGAGATATAGTAGGCGTGGGAGCAGGTTCATTTTTATAACCTGGACCCTGCCCAGCCAGGATATGTGTGGGTATGCCCAGTCCGACAGGTCTTTCCGGAACCTGTTTAGCAGGGGGATGAAGTTGTGTCTGAATAGATCAGGTTCCCTCCTCGTCAGCCATGTGCCTAGGTATTGTATTTGATGTTGTGCCCATTGGAATGTGTGGCTCTGCTTTAAGGGGGAGGCTCTGTGTTCTGGTATACTAACGTTCAAGATGTATGATTTTGTGAAGTTGATCTTGAGGTTGGATATCTCTCCGAAGGTCCTGAAGGCCTTCAGGATATTCGGGAGCGAGACCTCCGGGTTAGTGATAAAGAAGAGGAGGTCATCGGCGTATGCCGCGACCTTGTGTTGTGTGTCTCCATGTCCAATGCCCCTGATTGCTGCGTCCTGTCGTATGTGCGTCAGGAAGGGTTCGAGTGTCAGCACAAAAAGCAGGGGTGACAAGGGGCACCCCTGCCGTGTGCCGTTGGTGATAGGGAAGTCACTCGTCAGGGCTCCGTTTACTATGATGTGGGCTGTGGGGCCGTCGTACAGTGCCTCGACCCATCTCCGGAAGTGCGGTCCCAGCCCAGTGTGGGCCAGTGTGTGGAACATGTATTGCCAGTCGACTCTGTCGAAGGCCTTCTCTGCGTCCGTGGACAGCAGTAGAACGCCTTCGTCCCCGCAATTACATCTGTGCATGAGCGTCAGTGCCCTGATCGTGTTGTCTCTTGCTTCGCGGCCCATGACGAAGCCAACCTGGTCTGGATGTATTAGAGTGGGGATGTGTGTCTGGAGGCGTGTGGCCAGTATCTTTGCTAACAGTTTGACGTCGCAGTTGATAAGTGAGATGGGCCTGTAGTTCCCGCAGTGTTCCCTGTCCTTACCTTCCTTCGGGATGAGTGCGATGTGTGCGGTCAGTGACTGTTTTGGCAGGTGATGTCCTTCCCTTAGTGCGTTCAGGGCGTCTAGGAGAGGGGGGTATAGATGTTCCGCGAACGTTTTATAATACTTTAACGGGAGCCCGTCTGGACCGGGGCTTTTACCCTGTTTTGTCACTTTAATGGCATAGGCTAGTTCCTCTATCGAAATTGGTTCGTCTAGGCTTTCTGCGGTTACCTGGTCTATGGACGGGAGGGGGTGGGCTGACAGGTAGGCTTGTATTTTCTCCCGCAGTCTGTCTTTCGCCGTGTCTAGGAGGGGCCGGGGGAGGGCGTATAGGTTCGCGTAGTATTCCCGCGTTATGTCGAGGATTTTAGAGGGTAGGTGGTGCAGGGTGCCCTGCCCATCTCTCATTTTATCGATGTACGTTCTTTGTCTCTGTTTGGCTAACATTCTGGCCAGTAGCTTACCGCTTTTATTGCCGTGAAGTAAGAAGAAGGCCTTATGTCTGGTTATGTCTCTGTGGTGTTTCCTTTGTAAGAGGCTCGTCAGGTCCCGTCTGAGTCGTAGTAGTGTCGCCTGGTGTGCCGTTTGTTGGGTGGTTTTGTTGAGTGTTTCCACCCTGTGTATTTCGGTCACTAGTTCCGTCAGGCGACTATCTGTCTGCTTTTTAAGGGTGGACCCCTGACGGATGAAGTGTCCTCGTATCACGCTCTTGTGTGCCTCCCATCTAATGGTCGGTGAGGTGTGTTCAGTTGTGTTCATCTCAAAGTATTCTTTGAGTGTGTCGTTGACCTCGGACGTGAAGTCGGGCCTAGTAAGGAGGTATTCGTTAAGCCTCCATTTGTTGTGCCGGGGTCTGTACAGGGGGGACGAGAGTGTTAGGGTTACCGGCGCGTGGTCTGACCATGTCGCCACCCCATGTTCTGCAGCGTTAGTTATTGGTAAATGGTAGTGCGTGGTAAAAAGGTAGTCTAGCCTGGTGTAAGTGTTGTGCACGTGGGAGAAAAACGTATAATCCCTCTCGTCCGGGTGATAGGCCCTCCAGCAGTCTATCAGCTGGTGGCGAGTTAGAAGGGTCTTGATTGAGTTTAGGTTTTGCGCCGGGACCCACGATCGTCCGGCGGAGGTGTCCCACCGCGGATTGAGCGCTACGTTTAGGTCACCCCCCACTATGAGGATTCCCTCCGTGAAGGGCCTTAGTTTCCTAAGTGTGTGTGCCAGGAATCTGTATTGTCGGGTGTTCGGGGCGTAGACGTTCGCGAATGTATAAGCCTGTCCTGCTATTGTGCCCTTTAGGAAGAGGATTCTGCCTTCCCTGTCCGTCAGCTGGCCCGTTTCTACAAAAGGTATATGTTTGTGAACTAGAATGGCCGTGCCTCTGGACCTTCCTGCGTGATAGTCGCTGTAATATCCTGTGGGGTAGTGATGGTTTGTCAGTTTGGGCCTGGACCCGTCCTTGAAGTGTGTCTCCTGTATTAGTACTATCGAGGCTCGTTGAGCGTGGAAGTCTCTCAGCGCTCCTGAGCGCTTCTCCGGTTTATTGAGACCTCTGGCGTTTATGGAGAGGACAGAGAGACAGTCCGGCACCAGTGCCTTCGTGCCTGTGTGTGAGTGTGGCCGCATCGTTTCGTCCTTGGGTCTCAGTCCAGTCAGGGGATCTGTCCGCGGTCTGTGTCCTGTCTGTGTCGTAGGTTGGGTGGGGGTTGTAGGAAGCTCATTTTTATTCTTGATCCCATTAAAATGTTCAAGTAATCTAGTATGTAATTTTCTAATCGTCCGTCCAATATATTGGACCCCACATTTACATTGCAACAAATATACTACAAATTTACTATGACAATTAATAAAATGTTTAATTTTAAAAGTTTCATTAGTCACCGTACTAGAAAATTCCATGGTCTTATTCTTCTGAAATTTGCATGTATTGCATCTACCACATTTAAAAAAGCCATTAGGTCTTTCTATTAGAAAATTCGTCTTCTCGATCTCAACAGTTTTTTTAGGCAAAATACTGGGGGCTAGAATATTCTTCAAATTGTTAGGTCTTTTATAGATTACTCTGGGGTTCTGAGGTAAAATCTTTTTTAAAAATTTATCTTGCAGTAAAATGGGCCAATTCTTCTTAATAGACTTCTCTATTAGATTGGCTTTATTGCTAAATTTTGTTAAAAACGCAAATTCAGACTGTTTCCCAGCATCCTTCTTAATCTTTTTGTTATTCATTAGAATATCTTTCCTCTGATAACCTTCTACCAGCTTTTGTGTATTAAATAGAAGCTGTTCTGGATAATTCCTATCTAAAAATTTCCTGTTCAGAACTTGCACTTGTTTCTCAAAATCTTCTTTCTCAGTGCAGTTCCTATATAGTCTCAATTGTTGGCCTTTAGGGATATTAGTCAACCATTTATAATGGTGGCAACTAGAAAATTCAATAAAACCATTACCATCTGTCGGTTTAAAAAATGTTTTGCTAAAAATTCTTTTATCTTTTATAAAAAGGGTAAGATCAAGAAAATTGATATGTGTATCATGGATTTCTTCAGTAAATCTCAAACCATATAAATTAGAATTGATATACGTTAAAAATTCAATTAAGAGACTCCTATCTCCCTTCCAAATAATTAAAACATCATCAATATACCTTCTCCATTGCACCAGGTTCGCACCAAATGGATTATTCTGCCAAATATGGTTCAACTCCCAATCAGCCACAAAAATATTGGCATAACTTGGTGCGAACCTGGTGCCCATTGCAGTCCCACAGGTTTGGAGGTAATATAACCCTTCAAACCAAAAATAATTATGAAATAAAATAAATCGAATGAGGTCTAGAACAAAAATAGCCTGCCCCGGATTCATATCTGGATCACATCTCAAGACATTTCGTACTGCTTCAATACCCTTCTCATGGTCAATCACAGTGTATAAGGAGGTGACATCGACTGTTACCCAGAGGTACTCATCTTTCCATTCAAGCCCCTCCAATTCCTTGATAATCTGGACGGAGTCTTTGGTGTAAGATTGAGCTAAAACCACATATTTCTGTAAAAAGAAATCAATATACTGTGAAATATTATTTGTTAAAGACCCAATCCCACTGATAATAGGTCTCCCTGGTGGAGATTCCAAACATTTGTGTACTTTAGGTAAGTAATAGAAAACAGCTGTTTTAGGTGAATTAACAAATAGATAATTAAACTCATCCTTATTTATAATCCCATTGTCCAAACCTACTAATAGAATATCATGTAATTCTCCCTTAAATTTACCTGTGGGATTACTCTTTAAAACCTTATAAGTATCTGAATCACTCAATATCCTCATTGACTCCGTCATATAATCAATTCTATTAAGGATGACAATACCTCCACCTTTGTCAGCCTGCCTGATTACTATGTCCTTATTATCTTTTAATTCTTTTAAAGCTTGTTTTTCTTTCTTGGTTAAATTATCTTTACCCTTATTCTTAGATAATTTTTCGAATTCACTCATCACCATTTCACAGAACACTGGTATATGGTCCCCCTTTTCCCAAGTAGGGAAAAATTTGGATTTATTCTTTAGACCAGAGTGTACAATTCCAGGTGCCCTAGATACACTCAAGCTAACGTCTGTCCTTTGATCATTCTGTGTATCACTATAAATGGTGCCTCCATCATTTTTCTTCTCAAAAAATCTCTTAATAGTTAATTTTCTTAAAAATTTCTGCATATCTATAAAAAGTTCAAACATATTGGGATCTGTTTGTGGAGCAAATTTTAATCCTTTATTAAAAACCTCTAATTGTTCTTTAGTAAAAATCACCTTAGATAAATTAAAAATGCCTTCCATACTCGTTTTAATGTTTAATCCGACATTTCCCCTTCCTCTATTTCCCCTAGTCCTCCTGTTGCCCCCAAAAGTCTTCTTTTCTTGGAGGGTGTTTGGAGGGTTTGTAGGGGGGAGAACCGGTTTCTGTGAGTCCAGACATTCTGTCCCTGTCTGGATTGGTTCTCTAAAAAAATCTCGGATTGATCATATCTCTCTCTTGTTCTGCCGTTTCCCACATTACTCTGAATAAAGGGCCTATCCCTTACGCTATTCCTCTGATTGTATGATCCATCTTTTTTTCTGCTATTCGCCATATTACTTGAAATATCTTTTCGTCTCACTATCCTATTTTGTTCCTCATAGTTTCTAATCCTCTTAGGAGATGAAAATCCATCTCTGTTTTTCTTATAATTAGGATTTCTATGGACGATATTTCTATCTTGCCCTCCTCTAAAGCCGTCATTATATTTATGAGGTCTATTCTCATGATAATCTCTGTTATTTTGGAAACCTCTAGGTCTCTTTTTTCTCCATTCTCTTTGTATACCTTTTTTATAATCATCTTTATCTCTACTCAATTTATTTTCCTTAATGTTTAAAATCTTTTCCTCTAATTTTTCTACATTTTTATTTAATAACTTACTATTTTCTTTTATTGTTTCTTCATCAAAGGCCATATTAATCTCAGATTCCACTGAGTGGATCTCCTCCTCTATATTTCTCAGACAATCTTCCTGGTATTTTACCAGGATTTCCATTAACCGATTTGAACAATTGTCAAGGGTATCATTCCACTTAGTCATAAAATCTAAGTTCTCTTGGCCAAATGCAGGTTCTTTTTCAATTCTTAACCCTCTGGGGATAATCCCTAATTTTAAATACTGTTGGAGATATTTAATCTCCCACCATTTCTTAACCTCCTTTTCTGCTAGCCTCTCCATTTTTTGAAATGAAAAATTATTTACCTTGTGATTAGTCGTAGATTCTCTAGAGAATAGACTTTCAATACGTCTATTCCTTGCATCTCTCATAGTTGTAGTCATAAGTCTACAATAAGCCATATCACAAGTGATCTTAAATACAAATCAGGAGAAGTAATTGCAGAAAAGTGTTCAATCACACCACACCTAATGGAGTAAGCAATTATACCCGAAGGTATAAAATATATAGACAAAAAAAAAGGATAAAAGGTGGGTGAATAAACAATATAGACTATTGGTAAACCAAGTGCAGGCAAGCCTCTGTAAATTGGATACTCCAAGTCCAATAAGAAACAGCAAATATATACAAATTAACAGGGCGCCACAATCACTAAATAGGTAAATATATAAAGGGAAGAATCAAATATTTATCCAATAGCTGAATAAAATAGTATTTTATTAATACAAAATGAATAAAATCATGGCACAACAAAGTGCTCAAACATATAATAAATAGGAACCCATAGGTATAGCAGCTCACTGGTGTATAATGCTAAATAGGCAATAAAGTGCAAATGCTAAAGTGCACAAAAATGGAAAAAGTGCAAATAATGGTGCTAAAAAAGCATCCAATTCATATCACATAAGCATAATCATAGCCTTAAACATGTCCAGAATGCAAAAATAGACAGTTAGCACATAAAAGCAGTATAGCCACTAATACCACAATTCAGGGTCCCAAAGTACTGGTTGCTCAACGCGTTTCGTCGCTAGACTTCCTCAGGAGCTTCTGTCGTCTTCCTCCATCTTCCTCTTTTTAAATCTGCCGGTTCGTCCGTCGGCCGTCGTGATCGCGCATGCGCGCCTACGTCACCGCGCACGACGTCATACGTCATGACGTATACGCAGTACATTGCATGCGCGCAATGTACCCCATTGCAACACTACAGGTCACATATCATTATAGAGCGATTAAATAGAAACAAGGCTCGATTTGTCATAGAGATGAACACATACCTGCCTAAAAATGTAATATATGTAATAAGTACTATTATTTTTAAAAGATTAGGTGTTTTTAAAAAAATAAATAAAATCTACAATATTGAAGGAGCTATAAAGTAGGATAGGTTACACGTGATCTTTTGTATTGTATTATATGGCCCCCATTTTGGAAATATAAATGCATGTTAAGGTGATGCAGCCAAGATTCTTGTTTTATATATATTTTTATCCCCTTTTTATAAGATAATATATTTTTGCAGAATTATTAGGCAAATAGTATTTATTTTGTCACAATACTTTATACCTTACGTAAAACCCTACTTTTGATTACCTGTCCATCATATATATATTTCCCCTCTCTGTTTATATAGTACTCCTCTGTTTAAGGGGTTAGTAGGGGGCAGGCAAAAAAGGGTATGTGACGATCCGGTTTGGCTACAGAATCAATCGAGCGTTTTTTTATCTATGATTAATCGCTCTAAATGTGACCGTGTAGTATGAACAATAAATGTTTTATTGCGTTCCACTGTGGTTGCGCATGCGCGTACTAGCCGCGTATGCGTCATGACGTATGACGTCGTGCGCGGTGACGTAGGCGTGCATGCGCGATCACGACGGCCGACGGACGAACCGGCAGATTTAAAAAGAGGAAGATGGAGGAAGACGACAGAAGCTCCTGAGGAAGTCTAGCGACGAAACGCGTTGAGCAACCAGTACTTTGGGACCCTGAATTGTGGTATTAGTGGCTATACTGCTTTTATGTGCTAACTGTCTATTTTTGCATTCTGGACATGTTTAAGGCTATGATTATGCTTATGTGATATGAATTGGATGCTTTTTTAGCACCATTATTTGCACTTTTTCCATTTTTGTGCACTTTAGCATTTGCAC